TGAGCCACAACTACTGAGCCTGCGCGTCTGGAGCCTGTGCTCCGCAGCAAGAGAGGCCGTGACAATGAGAGGCCCGCGCGCTGCAATGAAGAGTGGCCCCTGCTTGCCACAACTAGAGAAAGCCTTCGCACAGAAACGAAGACCCAACACAGCCAAAAATAAATAAATATAAATAAATTAAAAAAAAAAAAAAAGAAGAAGCCGACACCACTGGCTCCTCTCCCAGCTAAGGGCAGGACTCATCTCTCTCTCTTTCTTCAGAGGGAGAAGAGTTTAATGGAAGTGTTGGCTGGACCTAGGATAGATCAGTAGTGCTGCATGATCTCCCGTGATGCTTGTCATTTCCTTTGCCATTGTGTGCTGTCTGCAACCTCACGGCGGAACCCAGCTAGCACAGCGCTGGAGGTCAAGGAGGAGAAAAGATGAAGGGCTGCTGTGGGGACTCAGGTGAAGCTGAGACGCAGATGCTCCTTCCACCCGGGAGCATTTGTTGCGTTAAAGACACATTCTTGGGCACAAGTGGCCTCGTGGTGTGTGGTGCGAGTGACTGGCGGAACAAAGTGACTTTGAGGACCCTGCTCCTCTGCGATTGCAATGGACCTGAAGCAATGAGCATGAAAGCCCTCCCCGCCCATCCTGAGCCTGGCCCCCTCAGCCCCTCCCTCCCCTCCTCTCTACCATTAACATACACCAAGTCCTAAGGCTGATTCCGAAAATAATTTCACAAGCCCTGCTCAACTACATCACAGCAGTAACTGCCAACACACAGGACTTTGAGGAGCGAAGGGAAAGAAGATGATAAGAATTTCACAAGTTATCATTTGCTACGTAAGAGAGAGGTTCTGAACTGGCTACCAAGAAATCTGTGAGCCTCACACCCAGCGGACCGAGTATCCTGGGAGGACGGAGACTCTGAGTCGTAGCCCTCAGACCAGCCTCTTTGGAAAGGAGGCTGCATAGCCAATTACATTCCCCCCTCGCTGATACCAATTTCTCACAAAGAGCCGGAGGCTCACAGCTTTCGGGATGAGCGCCAACCGATCAACAGCTGCTTTTGCAGAATCCCGTTCGATTTGATTTTACCCTTAGCACCGTAGGCTAGAATGCCAGTAAGGAGCGAGCACTGAGAGCTAATTATTTAATTAGCAAGGTGAGCCTAGGGCCTGGTGGGATCACTTCTCAGAACACAGAGAACAGCCATGGTCACAGTTTTCCTCTAAGGTAGGAAGAAACCAAAGCCCAGGGAAAATGGAAGGCTGTGGCAGCAATGTCGGGTCAGAAGCTGAAGTCCAATTACAGAATCATCCCCCTTTGTGGTAGCCAGTCTCCAAGGTGGTCCCCAATGACCCCTGCCTCCCGGTAATCACTGGGAGGTAGTCCTCTCCCCACTGAATGGGGATGACCTGTGTAACCAATAGGATATTGCAGAAACGATGGAGTTTGACTTCCAGTGCTAGGTCGTAAAAGACGTGACAGCTTCTGCCTTGTACTCTCTTGGATCATTTGTTTTTCTGGAAGCCAGCTGCATGTCACGAGGACACTCAGGCAGCACCACGGAGAGGTCTGTGTGGCAAGGACCTGAGGCCTCCTGCCAACAGCCATTATCACCTTGCCAGCCACATGAGTGAGCACCTGAGAGCACATTCTCCAGCCCCAGTCAAGCCTTCAGATGATCACAGCCCCAGCCAGCATTTTGACTGCAACCTCATCAGAGACCCTGAACCAGAAGCACCCAGCTAAGCTGCTATTGAATTCCTGGCCCACAGAAACAGTGAGATTAGTCAATACTTACTGTTTTGTGTCACTAGCTTTTGGTATAATATATTATGCAGCAATAGATCACTAATATGGCCTTCCAAGTGTACCATCATGTCTGTTTCCACAGGAAACTGATTTCTGTCCCTCACAGGAAGCCTTGTCAGTGTCTCAAATGGATGGTCTCCTCCTTTCTAGAATATCAGTAACTCCTGATATCAAAATCTCCTGCCTGGAAACTGAGAGGCAGAAAGCTGCCTTTCTGCTGCTCCTCTTCTAGACCATCTTCAACCACAGCAGCAAAGTAAACACTCACGTGTACACAGATGCACGTGCACACATACACCTGTGCACACACAGAGCTTCCTTTCAAACCTGAAAAATCACTCGAGTGCTGGCAATATGAGCTTTTCTTCCAGGAAGGACCAGATGCTCTGAGTACAGTTTTCTCACACTGTCACTGAATGGGCAGACGGGGGACAGGCAGCAGAGGAGACTGACTATCAAGAATGGTTTGACGGTCTTTCTCCTTTGCTAGTCGTCAAAGTCTGAGCTGGGGGAGCACCAGCAGGAGAGGAAGTCACAGCCACCAGTCCACACGGTCCCACATTCGTTTAGCTATTTCAGAATTGCATTTTCCCCTTTTATTCTCTTTTTCCCATCCCATTTATCACCCTGGGTGAGGGGGAGGGTCTTTGGTAAGGCAAAAACACAGAGACTTCATGAGCATAGTAGCATGTCCCAGTTATGCAAGAGGCAATCAATATATTAGAAAAGAAATATTTCCTCGTGCAGATGCTCTACTGGGAAGAATCTGGCAGATGTGAGGCCTCCACTTAAGATATAATTAAGTACCTGCAGCTCCTTCCCCTTCAGGATCGGGGCCAGGAAGAATGCTTAGAGCCTGGAAGGGCTTGCAGCATCCTTCTAGGCTAGAGTGGGCCCTGAAGACAGAGGCAAAGGGTAGAAAGCATTCAGAAAGCGCAAGGAAGAAGAGAAACCGAGAAGAGCAGCAACTCCCAGATGTGCAAACAGAGTACATCTGTATGGGCTGCAAGATGCCAGGTGGGAAATAATGCTTCTCTGTCTTGTTAACTATATGCTCACTTTTTTTTTTTGCTGCACTGTGCGGCATGCGGGATTTTAGTTCCCTGACCAGGTATCGAACCCGTGCCCCCTGTATTGGAACCACTGGATCCCCAGGGAAGTCCCCCTATGTGCTCACTTTTGATTTTGGCCAGGGGAGTCCACCCGTCTATCTTTCCACATCGAAATGTTACCTGAGCGCTGAAATATTCTGATCACGTGGTAAGTAGGGTCATGGAGGTCCTTCTCTAGGGAGAGTCAGGGCTGATCATAACCGCAGGGAGATGATGTTCTCCTGCTGGGTATCAGCAGCGTGGAGGTCAGACGCCATGTCTCACTCTCCCCTGCCCTGGATATCCTCCAGGACAAGGTCCTGTCTCTCTGGTCATCTTCAGGTATACGACTTTCCTTGTTGAGCTCATCCTTGACTATAGTTTCACCCACTAGCTCTGATGAATCCCAAATCCGGGTTCCCAGCCCTGGCCTCTCACGCATGATCCATCCTTGATTTCAGCTGTGCACAGACTTTCCTTGGTGACTGACCCTCAATGTGTCCAATTTAGAATTCAACTCCACAAAGACGTCTTTTCTCCATGATCGTATTCCTGGCAGTAGTAGCCAGTTGGGAAACTTGGAGTCAGTCATCTCAAGCCTTCTCTCCTCAGGCTCTAAATCCACTCTGCCAGTGGATCCTGAGCTCTTTCCCTTTCAACCGTATCTTCCTCATGGTCAATGACTTTCCTGTGCTCATTGCCTCCACCTTTTTTCAAACTCTCATTGTGACAGGCTGGGGATGCTCTCTTTTCTTTCTTTTCTCACTTAATCCCCCACCTATTTCAAGGTTTGAAGCAAGTACCCCCATTTCCTGAAGCCTTATCTGACCTCTCAAGACCACATGTGTCTCCTTTCTTGAACTTCTATTCATTTTATTTAAAAAAAAGTTATTGAGGGTCTGCTGAGTACATGGGCTAACTGCTGAGGGTACCACAACAATGAAGTCCCTGGCTGCAAGGAGATTACAGTCTAGTAACCATCAAGCCAATTAATTACTCTTTGTTTTCTCTCTTAGTTGTGTTTCCCCAACCAAATTCTTAAACAGCCAGGACTGTGTCTTAAGCATCTTTTGTAAAACCCATAGTGACTGTTAGACTACAGGGCCAGTAACAAGTTCTTACTAAGTACTTGTTGGTTATATGCAAGATGGGTAGCAGAATAAGACTAGAGATACACGTCAACTGCAATCCTTATCTAGAGATACAGAGAAGTATCTTTGGTTAAGGAAAAAAACACATCAAGAAATTAAAGAAACCACACCGTGTTTGAATGGTATTTTACATGTTTAAACAGTAATTCAATTTAACTTGACAAATTAACTCAATTTTTTTTTCTTTTTTTTTGGCTACGCTGCGCAGCATGCGTGATCCCACTTCCCTGACCAGGGATTGAACCCGCGCTCCCTGCAGTGGAAGCACGGAGTCCCAACCACTGGACCGCCAGGGGAGTCCCTAATTTTTTAAAATAATTATTGATGAGTCATTCCCCAAATTCCATAGTCACAAAATAATAGTCACATTTTAAGACTAAAGAACTAATATAGAGAAATGATTTATAGCACAATTAATCATTTGAAGGTATTATTTGGAATTTCCTAAGAGATTTTACAAGATAGAAATAGAAGCAAATCGAGAAGCATCAAATGCGAATTTTTAGATAAAACCCTTCTGTCCCATTAAGAGTATTGCTAGGATCCAAACACACGAGGCAGCCATGCCATCCTCCCAGCAAGGATCTGCTGGAACCAGGGACAGAGTGGGCTCAGGTAATACCAATATGTCCTTTCTAAGTGTCCCCAGGAAAAAGTCTTTTGTGAATCAGAAGTGGAGGAATCTCATTTCTCCAAAATGTAAAACTAGTTTTGATATGAGGGAAAATAGGGAGATATTTCACTCTTCCGAGCCTTAAATGAGTGTAGTTTTGATTCTTTGTTCAGGGGACCTAGTACGGATCTCAACTTAGATGTCCAGTTCAAGGAACGTATGTCACTCAAGCCCAGAAGGGAGCTTCACGTGCTGAACAGAAGCTCAAGAATTCACAGTCAAATGTTAGTCCCAGACACATGTTTGCTGTCAAACTTAATTTTTCAAAAAATTCTTACTCACCTGCCAGAATATGCTATCTATCGTGTTTCCAAGAAAACCATCGCGACCTTCTGAAGACACCAGTTTGGGGCCAAGGATTGTCATGAATTCATCAAAATCCACCTGACCATCCCCTGGAAGGAGAAGATATAAATACGAGTTGAAAAGTAGCTGAAATTGACCTACTGTACCCAATGAAATAAACATCTCCATGCTTTTCTCCACGGCATGACCTCAGTCAATGAAGAGCTGAAACCATTTCTGAAAATTGGGCTTCATTCTTAAAATACCAAAAGAAATACAAGAAATTCGCAACTGTGAGTACCTCTGATACCTCATATTCCTAATCATTTGCCAGTATTTGTGTCTAAATGCCCAACCAACACCTCCCGCTTAAATGGCCACGGCTTCACACCTGCTGTACCTGGACCCCAAATTGCCCAGCTGTACAGGAGAGAAATCACATCTTCATCCCTATCTCTTCCTTCATCCTTGCCAATCACACATAAATTTAGTCATCAAGTCTTGCTGATTTCACTTCTTAAATACCTGTGGCTGCTCTACCTTTTTTGTTAATCCAATTGCTAGTCCATTTCCAAAAAGACTGTGGTGGGAAAATGCTTCCAAGAATGAATGTTCCTAGTTATAATTACAATGTTACTAGTAAAATGGCTTTTGCCCTCATACTCTCACCTCCACACTCTCTTCCTGACAGTTCAGTTTACTTCCCCAAAGCATATGTGACCGTGCTTTTTTCCCCAAAGCATATCTGACCGTGCTTTATACACTTCAAAGGCATCTTTGACCAAAAATAAGGAAACCACCTCGGGATGGTATTCAAGTCCCGCTATTCCTTTTGACACACTTTGCTTCCTACCTCTGCACAAAATGCCATGCTCTTTCAGAGCTCCATGCCTCTGTACATGCTGTTCCCTCCATCCGGGATGCCCTTCCCCATTTGTCTACCTGGTGATCTCTAACTTGTTCTATACAATGGAGCTTAAACATCATGTTCTCTTTTTGTATTTTTCCTGACCCTTCCTCATCTCACTAGACAGAGTTGGGCACTTCCTTCTGTCCCTTCTACTAATTTAGTGTGCATCTATTTAGAACAGATCACCCTATATCTCAGCCCCTAATTTGCACACCTATCTCCCACGTGGACTGTGAGCTCTGCAAGGCCAGGGACCCAGCCTGAAACTTCTTTATATCTGACACCATGGTGGGCGCTCCGTATGCACTTAGAGAATGACTGACGTCTCTTGCTTTTTTTTTTTCCTTTGCTCAGTTCAACATGCATTGGATCTTTCATACTAGAGCTGACACTGACCAAAGGTGAACTTGAGCCAAATTAGACAAAATTAGACCTTCAGGGTATTGTCTGAGCCTCAGTGACGCATCAGTGTGGCATTCTGCACCCTTAGGACGGCTCAGGAGGGTGTCTCCAAGAGCTCACCACATCTTGGCCCCAGGCAGGAGAACAGTCCAGGTGTCTGCATACATGTTTGCCAAAGTGCAGACACATCAATCCACTCCTGGAGTGCAATCGCCTTCCAAGAACCTTCATTGGAAACCTATTTCCAAAAGTCAAGCAGACGTCATGATCAAGACGTCAATAATTCAGAACAGACAGTCCAGGAACAGATCCCAGTGTAGATAAAACTTCCCAGAGGACAGGGGAAGCATGACAAGTCAGTAGGATGGACTACTGAGAAGAAATTGATGTATCTCTCACCTGTCAGCAAGATGAAAGGATCCAAAATTTCCCCTTGGCTGGTCATAAGATGGCTAATTCAAGCGACAATGAGTTAGCATCTTGCCTTTCAAATGAGCAAATACTTATAAAAAAGAATACTGCTCAGTGCTGGCAGAGATGCAGATGAGAGATGGACTCTCTGACGCGTCTCTGGGTATATTCACCCAGATATTGACTAGCAGTGTTCAAGATGCTGTAACATTCTGGTTCTTTTGTACCTAACAACTTCACCTTTAAAGAAAAAGACAAAGCAAGGAAATGATCTTAAATGCAGACCAAGATGTTTGCCCAAAGATAAGTCATCCAGTATTTGTGAAAGTGGAAAGGTGGCAGCTGGAGGAAGATGAGAATGGCCCAGTCTTGCTGGCATTCATACTGAGCGAGAACCATGAGGCTCGGACAACCGCGCTTGTTATATACATGCGCTAACCCCCAGCTCACCCCAAGCCACTCCCACTAGTCAAAGCTGGTTCTGGATGGCCAAAAAGTCTCAGGCTAGAGGGTGCATTCTCAAGAGAGAGAGCATCACCTTCCGTGAGACGGAAAGTGATTCTTAGGGGACCAAAAATAACTTAGATATTATGGTCTGTGGCCCTCCTAACGTCACAGTGTATAAACATATATTCATACAGTATATCTGTCCAATTATAATAAAATGCCATGGGGTTAGGGCAACTAGGGAAACAAGTTTCTTAGGCACCTGAGTGGGGGAGTGGCAGAACAAGAAGGAGGAACAGGACAAGAGGAAGAGGAAGAGGACGAAGAGGAAGTAGTTCAAGAAACACTGGACTAGATAATGTCCCAGGTACTACGGCTCTCCTTCCGGGGCCCTCTCTCTGGGATGTTGGTCTATTAGCAGTGGGCGTCATCCCAAGTGTCTGTCACCCAGGTGAGGTCCAACAGTTCATAAAAGGTCAGAAGCTCGAGGGTGTGCGGAGATGGAAACAACCTAAGTGTTCATCATCAGATGAATGGATAAAGAAGATGTGGCACATATATACAATGGAATATTACTCAGCCATAAAAAGAAACGAAATTGAGCTATTTGTAATGAGATGGATAGACCTAGAGTCTGTCATACAGAGTGAATAAGTCAGAAAGAGAAAAACAAATACCATATGCTAACACATATATATGGAATCTAAGAAAAAAAAATGTCATGAAGAACCTAGGGGTAAGACAGGAATAAAGACACAGACCTACTGGAGAATGGACTTGAGGACACAGGGAGGGGGAAGGGTAAGCTGGGACGAAGTGAGAGAGTGGCATGGACATATATACACTACCAAATGTAAGGTAGATAGCTAGTGGGAAGCAGCCGCATAGCACAGGGAGATCAGCTCGGTGCTTTGTGACCACCTAGAGGGGTGGAATAGGGAGGGTGGGAGGGAGGGAGACACAAGAGGGAAGAGATATGGGAACATATGTATATGTATAACTGATTCACTTGGTTATAAAGCAGAAACTAGCACACCACTGTAAAGCAATTATACTCCAATAAAGGTGCAAAAATAAAAAAAGAGACCTCACGAGACCTTAACAAAAATATGTCCACCAGCTGGGCCACACCAGCTCCCGCCCATAGTGCCGTAGGCACCACTGTTCCCTGGTAGTCCAATGGGATGGGGTTGGGGGTCCACAGGACTTAGCAAAACACCTGCTTCTCAGCATGAGGCTGTCTTTAAACAATCTACCTTCCAGGTAGGAGGGGAGAGACCACCTACCCCTCCAAAACCTCCCCCGCCACCCCTGGTGATGGGAGAGCAGCACGTGGAACTGGCGCATTTCAAGGGTCCACACGGAACTCTGGTCAAAGTCATCAGGGAGCGTTCACGGACGGTGCCCTTGGCTCTGAACAGCAAACCCAAAGCTCACGAGCGGAAATGACGCTTCAAACTACATCCTGGCCGCAGTGAAGGGAGCAGCTTATTCTCTACTCAGAGCCTTGGCCAGAGGGGAAGTGCTCGGGTTGGGGGGCAGTGCTCAGGACCCCATGGCAGTGCCAGCTGTAGCGCTGGTGCACGGGTGGCTTGGTAGAGCCTTTCTGCTACTTGGAGGAGAGGTCTGGCTCACAGGAGGGTCTGCTTCTAGCTGTTAAGCAGATGACATTTGGAACTTCAGGTCTGTTATTGGTCAGAATGTGATTCTCCCCCAACCCCCCCCCCTTTTTTTTTTAAACTATCATTGAGCCAAGGGAGATTCCTGCAGGCCCATAGTTGGAGAAACAGTCAGGGTGGGGCCCCCTCACCTATCTCTGTCTCTCTTGGCATCTTCTCAGCCCTGGCTCCTGAGTATGTGTGTGCATTGCACATTTTCTGCAGACCTTCAGTACACAAAGACTCCTCCTTTCACATACACAGCTCGACATCAGACCTGCCCGCAGTACAAAGGTTCTATTCAGATTTAGAGTGAGGAAAACCTGTCTTCAGCAGATCCTAGTTTGAAGGACAAATAAGACTGGGTACACCCCACAAGCTATCAGTGCTGTTCCCAGAAGTCTGGCCCCCATGTCCCCACCCTCTCCCTGCATCCATTCCAGGAGAACTGAGATGAATACAATCTCGGAGACCAGTTTCTCCCTAAGCCCCTTGAACAGAAACCAGCCCCAGGCCGAGGCAAGGTCTGGGAAGTCTGATGATGACCTTGACATCTAACATACTGAGCAGTCACCATGCCGTGGCATCATTTAAAGAAATCGCCACACCCTAGTTCATTTAAGGCTGCCAGCGGCCCATTTTACAGATGAGAAAACCGAAGCACAGAGAGGTTCCGTAACTTGCAGAAGCTCACACAGGGGAGCAGAGCTGGGATTCCAAACTCAGCAGTCTGCCTACGCTTTTGCTGTCTCTCAGGAGGCCGGGCGATGTGTGGCTCTGTCAGAACACCATTCCCCCTGATCCCAGCGTTCCCTGGCTGGGGAGTGCTACGGCTGCCTGGCACACAGAGGCAAACTGAAATCTAAGTTGCTCTCTTGGGTCTCAGGTCAGCTGCTGGAGGTCTTTCTTAAGCATTTAAAAGAATGACAATAAGTAATAGGAAATACTGATTTAACATTTGCGATATGCCGGACACTGAACTCAAGGCCTTACACATATTACTGTTTGATTCTATCCCAACGCTATGAATAGGTTTCGCCCTTCCACATTTTGCCCTTGAGAAAATTTTGGCAAGAAGAGGTTAAACGGAGCTAGGTCAAAGCTAGGCAGCCAGTAGGCACCAGCAAAGGGATCAGCTTGGAACCCCTGATGCTAACCCCCGCATCGCAAAGCCTCCCTCCATGTCAGAGGCCCCAGCATAATTCCTGGCCCAGGTTCATATCTCTCTTCAAAGTTTGAGAGTTTAATATGTTTTCCTATCTGGGCCTTTGGGAAGAAATTT